ACCTATGCCTACAGCAGATTATTTTTTTGCCGTAAAACCAAAATAGTTTCATCCATGCCGACATTCCGGTCGGTTAGTGTGAGCCCTGACTGAACTCTGCAGAAACTTCACATCGATCTTCGCATCGCGATGTAAAACAAAATGTCGGAAAACCTTTCTTTGACGCATGCGCATTTGCATAAATGTCTACACACACACATACACACTACACACAATAAAAAACATAGGAAATAGCAAGAGTGATTACAATAGTTCCTAAATTGCATTACATGCATAGGAACTAAAAAACGAAAACGATAGTTTTTTCAGACATTTTTTCGGCATTTGCGGGTCGAATTAGACATTTTTTGGCATATGAAAAATCAGAAGCGGGCCAAAAATCAGGGTCGGGTGGTGACGCTAAACAAGTATATATATTTTTTTTTAACTTTATTATTGACAAATTAACCATATAAGTCAGCCGAACTAGAAAAGGCCCATTGCGTTCTCTCTGATGATGGGAGCTCGCAGTCTGCCTGGGCCTAGCTATAAGAAGTTGGCTAGCGTCACGAAAGAAAGAACTGCTGACTTGTATGGGTTTTTGTCCTAATTTCGTAGGCTATTACATTTAATTCATACTCATATTTGAATAGCACATACGATTGAGAAAACAGTGATTTGAAAAACTTGTAATTAGTTTGAACATGGAGGTATAGGCCTATTGTTCTATGTAATGCCTACTACTGACGTTATCTCGATGAAAACAAAATGTCAGCAAACTTTTTCCCAACGCATGCGCAAATCAAAATTTGGACTAAAAAACGATTCAAAACTGGTGGTGGGGGTATATGTTTTATCGTGTACAGCTTACATTTTCTATCTAACCGAAAAAACAAACATTTCTCACACAATTACACGTCCACCAGTACCTCTTGGGCACAATGTATACCCGCAGCCAGGCACCGTTTAGGAGCCTATTTGTTTACAGACATACAGACAGGTTGTTGCCATACATACACACACACATTATTTTTACATCTGTATCATCCCAATAGTTCCTCTGTGACCTAAGGTCATAAAGGAACTAAAAATTAAATATAATCATTAGTGACAAATTCTTTGTTGTTACTTACCCAGCCGTCCATAATCCCCTTCTCCCCAGGTGTACAACTGTCCGTCATGTGTTATACAAGCGCTGTGCCTGTACCCAGCTGATATTCCTACCACAACTTTTCCTGTCAAAATTCCCTGGATCATCTTGGGATACTTCTGTGTGGCCGTGTTACCATGACCAAGTTTCCCGTAATCACCATCCCCCCAGCTGAACACTTGTCCCTCTGTGGTCAAAGCAAGGGTGTGTCCATCTGACCCCTGGGAAAGAATACAAATTTCAGATTTTGTAATATTCTGATCAATTAATTTACTATCAAAGTATTAATTATTAATTAACTCAATTAACAAACAAAAGTAAATAATGCTGTCGGTAGTCTAAATGGAGATACTTGGCTAAACTGCCAGTTTTCTTGGAATTATTGGCAATGTTGGTTTATTTATTGACAGTGGCAAATTTATTGGGGGGAGCCAACCTGGGCCCCTTCACACCCCTAAATTTTTCAAAATTAAAAAAATTGAGAAATTTTAATTTTTTCTATATTAAGAGAGTGCTATTCAAAAATTTTCCATGGTTGGGCTGAGGTGGTATAGACCCTCAGTATTTGTGAATTTTCTATTCTTTAGTTAATCCAGTGTCAATTTTTTATAAGTAAATGTTGTTTTTACTTACAGACTTGACATGTTTCGCCTCTTGGCAAGAGGCTTCTTTAACTATGGTTTTGAATAACACTTACTTCAGTTTTCAGGATAAAGTGTACCGGCAAAGAAATGGGATTGCAATGGGTAGTGCAGTCAGCCCAATTGTGACAAATCTGTTTCTGGAATGGCTTGAACACAAGGCAGTAGAATCTGTGAGCGTTCAATTGAAACCGGTCATCTGGAAAAGGTATGTAGACGACGTTCTCACGCTTGTCCCCGAGGGAGCTATGTACGACCTCAACCAACATCACAACTCAATTGATCCCATACAAAACATCAAATTCACAACAGAATGCATGTCAAACAACTCCATATCATTTCTGGACATAAATATTTCACTACAAAAGAACAAGATAAACACTACAGTATACAGGAAACAAACACACACAGACCAGTATCTCAACTTTCATTCGTGCCATCCTCTGGATCATAAACTGAATGTCATTAGCACCCTTGTGGACAGGTGCGAGAGGGTCGTTTCTCTCAAGGGGGATAAAGAAACTGAGCTTAAAAAGATCAGAACAGCTCTAAACTCATCCAACTACCCCAACTGGTCAATTAACAAAATACTGGAAAAGAAGAAAAACAAGGGGGGAAAACGAGGGGAAGCGTAGGGATCTCATATTATACCTGAACTATCAGAAAGATTCAGGAGAGTCCTCCACAGTTACAATGTAAACTCATTTTTCATCCCACAGAACAAACTAAGAAATCAACTGTACATCTAAAAGATAAAGTTAAAAAAGATGATTGCTGTGGTATAATCTACCAAGCAAGATTGTTGCGATTGCAGAAAAGTGTATATTGGGGAGACAGGTAAGTCCTTCTCCATTGGAATAAAAGAACACAAATCAGATGTGGACACTCACTGCTCCAGCATCCTTACCAACAGCTAGGAACTCTGCATCCCAAGTCACTCACAACTCCGCAATTACCGACCACATGATTTCTAGGAACCATCTCCCTGATTGGAATGCAAAGATACTAGCAAAAGAACCACACTGGCAGGATAGAAAAACAAGATAAGGCAAAACAAGAATACCATGAACAGAGATGATGGTACAAACGCCTGCATTTACATGATGAAATTCTGAAAGGCACGGCACCCAGCACCCTCGCTTGGGTAAATCCAAGCAAAAAATAGGTGGCGCTATTAAGCTGTCATCGCTTCACTTTTGACGATGCCTCCTGCCAAGAGGCGAAACATGTCAAGTCTGTAAGTAAAAACAACATTTACTTATAAAAATTGACACTGGATTAACTAAAGAATAGAAAATTCACAAATAATTAACTGAATCCAGAATGAATTTATTTCCTATGACCCTCAATATATTTCAAATTTCTGGATCAGCCACTGTTAATTATTCTGTCCTTGTTATACAATTCTAACATCTAAATGTATATAACTGCCATTACAAATTATTTACTGTATAATTCAATACATACTTTTGATGAGGACACTTTGGTAATTAAATAGTTCTCAAAATTGAGTTTCTTTAGTTGAGTTTGATTGTTAGAATCGCCAAGACCAAGTCTGCCGTAGCTTCCCTTTCCACAAGCCTTCACTGTTCCATCACTACTTGTTACAAATGTACAGTACTGCCCTGCTTCAACCTGCAAGAAGATACTATTAAGTAATATCAAATATTATATCAATGGGCTATTTGTAGCAGATGGCTTATCTAACAGTGAGTGACAAGTCAGTCAACTAAAACTATAGATCTTTAAATAGCACTGTTACTAAGTTGTAACACAAGTCTAATAGATAACAACACAGTTGGTATATTATCTTATACTGGATGTAGATATGGACACACTTGTAGTGAGTACTGAATAAAGAACACATCATTGAACCCAAGTATTGTACTGTCATATTTACAAACGTCTCCAGAAATACAACATTACATGGTGTCGGATTAGTGGATAATAGCAAAAATGAATGCTTTAAAATGCCTGAAGAGTTAACAAATACACAGATGAATTCTTTATTAAAGCCGAAAACAACCAGAAAAACTACCTGAGGTAAATGCTTTGGAAAAAAGAAAAGAATGACATGAACAAAGATCGAAAACAAAACCGTCAAAAACACCAAAAACTTTCCTGAAGAAATGTGGAAACAAACATGGTCTGAGAAGTTGCCCAGCATATGGACGTGAGTGTAAAAAATGCAACAAAAAGAATCATTTTGCAAAAATGTGCAGAACAAGAAGGGAATTTCAAGCAGAAGAAATGCAAGTACAATTAGAGGAAGGCGACAAATATGTACATGGAAGAACTAAATATTGGTGACAAAGTTTGGACATAAAATTTGAACTTAAAAGCAAAAACGAAACAAATGACAGTAAAATTTGAAGTTGATACAGGAGCACAATGTAACCTCATTCCTGCTGATATTCATGACAAGTTGGAAGACAAGCTTAGCAAAAGTAAGATAACTTTAACCTCATTTACAGGACACAAAATAAAACCAATTGGTAGATGCATATGTTACTCAGTGAGTATAATAATAAATTTTATGATATTAATTTTCAAGTTGTACAGTAAATAAGAAAACAACTCCAATCATTGGATTATGTACGTGTAGAAGGTTAGGTTTAATCAATGTTGTTGAATCAGTAAAGTCAAAGTTGAATACTAATGACTTAAAAGAAAAATATAAACATGTATTTGATGGCACAGGATGCATGCCTGGAGAATAAACTCTAAAAATTAAATGGGATGCAACCCCTGTAGTTCATGCTCCTCCTAGAGTGTCTGTAATATCTAAAGTAACAGGACCTGCAAAAGGATGGGTTAGCAGTGTGTGTACTGTAGGCAAAGTTAGAATTTGTCTTGATCCAGCTGATTTCAACAGAGCAATAATTAGAAAATGTTATCCAATGAGTACATTCATTAGTCAGTTTCAGATCAATTGGAAGAAGCAAAAATATTCACTGCATTAGATGCAAAAATGTGGGGGTATTGGATGATACAGTTAGATGATGACAGTAGTGATTTGTGTACATTTAAAGGGGGGGGGGCGAATGAGACAAGTGGGCATATATTGCTTATTTAACCTTTCCTGAGTTCGGGAAAAATACTTTAAAAATTCAAAATGTTGAGATGTAACGATAATTACAGAAACAAAACATGATATGATGAGACAGGAAAATCAGGTGAAAACGAGGCTGATCACTTTTTTCAGTAGCTTGGTAGCATTTTCTAACCAACTCATTAATATTCAAGACCAGTCTGTCAATTTTGGCGAGCAGTAGCTGATCGAAAAATCGTCTTGACGATCGAGCGACTAGCCTTAGACAATACATCACTAGTGTGAAATCGTGAGTTTTTGTGATCGTTTACGTACGCAGTAACAGAGAGACGGTTTAGTCAACGTCAATTCAATCATGGAGGAATAATTCAATTGAATTAATAAACTTATATCAGTCCGATGACTTGTTTGTTTATAATTAGGCCTACACCTATGCCTAGGATTAGCACAGTCAGTGTCTACCCAGCAGCAGTAGCGCACTCCTGTCTGGGACACTGCTCCAGTCCCGCAGCAGGTGAGTTCGCAAGCAGCCTTATCCAGCTGACGGTAAAGTTAGTAGGTTTCTACTTACTAGCCTAGCCTAGACTTGTCATGCCATGCCATGGCGACTTTGTCACATTAATTGTGCTAGTGCATTTTTTTCATAATAGACCTAGGCTAGGCCTACTAATAATATAGGCCTAGTAATAGGCCTGGTCCTATGAAAAACTGTCTAGGCCTAGGCCTAAATGTCTAAAAAAATGCACTGTCTAAAGGTGATGTGCTATAACACTACAGATTATCAGAGCCAACACCAATTCCTGTAACAATAAGATTATTATTGATATACTGTAGGCCTAGAAGCTAGGCTACACAAAAATAACGCCCCATTAAATAATAACATGATGCATATGTTACTCCAAACATAACTTTCAGCTGTTGTTGAAATGTGGAATTCAAATAAAACACATACATATATATTTTTGTTGGACAAGATATGTGATAGGCCGAAACATGACACTCTCCTCACATAGATGATAGGTATTTGCCAGTCACCATGATGAGACAAACATACCACAACATTTGCCATGAGTACAACCGCCACCCAACATTGGCATCTACGAAAGAAGGTGGTACAAGGCATACAAGCACCCAGCAAGATGTTTGCAAGAAACACTCTGGTTGTTTGCTGAAACTTGTAATGGAAGCTACACACAATTTAAGGTGAGCAGAAGAAAATTAAGTGAATATCTCATCACTGTTCAGCCAGAGTACATGAAACAAATATATTGGAATGGTAAAAAAATACCAGCATGGTGTGTCAGTTTTATTAAGAAACAACAATAATAATACATTACACACTAGCAGACAGGAAGGCTTCAATCAAGTAATTAAAAAATCTAAAAATACTGTCAATTGATGAATGTCTTTTCAGATTAGTACATACAGTATTTCAGTATGGTATGTTATTGATAAATCAGCAAATGCCAATATTTGATAACATTTTTTATTTTTATTTTAAAAAACCTGGTTTTGCATTATTGTAACTACTGTATATTTATTCCTCAATAGGAGCAAATGACTGGCTCAAATGGATGTGAGATGTAAACAGTTCCATCTGTGTGGACATGATGAAATGGACATGTCCAATCCATGGTTAGCAGAAGGTGGTGATCCTCAGAGCTCTGCAGCAAGTGATTGAGGCCAAAATATTTCCAAATAATTAAATTAAAATGATTTATCTAGTGATTTTTTTTTTCTGAAGATATACTGAAATGCCACACACAGTTTTTGTTTTTTACGCATCTGGTTTATATTGCATGCCAAATTTATAATAAATAAATAAATACTGTACCAGTATTACTGTACCTGTTTCACTTGCAAAATATCTTTAATATTATTTAATGGTATTATAATCCCATTCAATAGTAATCCTTTTGAAGCAAATATGTGACCCAGATTTAGAAAAAAAAATTGTGAGGATTTTGAAATATGTAATGTGCGAAGTTGATAGTACAGTATGAAAATGTGGCTCAATATATACAGGAACAATTATTTTAACGTATAGCTTTTTACAGTCTTGTGTAAATTTATTCTATGAAACTGCTTATTTTTTAATGCCTGGATTATGCCTATGTTTGCATGCTGATCAATTTGGTATTGGAATTTAAGAGAAAGCTTCAATTTTGTTTGCAGTACACGATTTTTTGTTTAGTATTTTAAAATATATAGTTGAACCAAGGAGGTTTTTTATACCTCCTTGGTTGAAATTGCCTATGTCATATCCAAAATGCCATTGAGCAATTGTTTGACCCTAACAAAATTTGACTTGCACTTACGTTAATGGAAAACACAACAATTCGGCATGTAAAATAGAGTATATTATTAGTTGTCTTAGGCAAGTTTAACTGCACTGCTCTATTTATCATGTCTGATTGTCTTGTATTATTTACCATAGCCAAGATTTCTTCTTTCATGATGATATTCAACATCCATATTTTTGGTGCTTCACGTAGTTATTGTTGTACATACAGTAAATTCAAGACTACTGTTGTTACTAAATAAATATTTTGAAACACAATTTATCATCCTTGTACATGGCAAATAATTTATTACAAGTGTATTTTCTCACAGTTAAAATCAAATTGTTTTACTGTACACAGAATAAAGCAACATTAAAGCAGTCAGGTATTACAATATACTGTATATCACTGCATTTTACACACTCTATTTATTATCAAAATATTAAATATATGGATTTATAGTTACTGTAGTTTATACCAATGTAAAGAATAGGGAAGAACAAGTTACATTTATTTACTGTACACAAAATTCTAATTCATACTGTATTAGCTTAAAATTTTAAAATATGAGACGAGAGTGGGGAAGATACAAAAAACATTGTACTGTACTTAAAAACAAAATGTTCTTGAAATCAACTTTGCTCGCCTATTCGCATCAATAGCATCAATTTCAATTACAGACTAGGTCTGGAAGGTTACACACAACTGACTGGTCCAGATATACAAAAGCTCTAGGCCTATGCTGACAAAATTTCCTTTCATGAGTGATGAGATTGTCAAAAAAACAGTTTGTCACATGAATTTTCAAGAATGAATCTATTTACATAAGATCTGTTGCATTAATGTGGATGGACTTATCACCTGTACCTTCCATAACAATTTATAAATAATTCTTCGAACAAAGTTTATTTCATCATCTTCTATAGCATCATAAATCCCAGGGCAGTCTTCACAGCTTCTGGGAACTTGTCCCTAATCGCCCACACAGTGCAAGATGGGATGACCCTTCTGTCAGATTTCTTTAGCCTGTTAAACACCTACCAAATGAAAGCCATCGATATCCAACATGTCAGCATTTCCTGTAAGAGAAGTACAATATATAGTTTGAACAGACTATTCTTACACCATTCAAAAATAATTAGTATTGATATTACAATATCTTTATAAGGAATTAATCATTCTGGCACTAATCATCAATGATAATTTTTGTTGAAAATATATATATATATATATATTCTAATTAACCATCACTGTGAAAAGCCCATTTTCAAATGCATTGCAAAATGATGTAACATAGCTGC